CTAGTTTGATATTTGTCAATTTAATGTCGTTGTGAAATGAAGCGAAGTAGCCGACGATTATATGTAATCTGGGTCGGACTAAAACTCATACATATTATCATAGAGACCCATAGCCAATTTTAGGGGGGTTGGATGGCCGAATGATTAGCGCGTGCGCGCTGTATCATAAGGCCTGTTATTGAGTCAACTGGCGTGGTTTTGAATCCCTGATTGTACGTGACAAGGAGTAGGGTCGCCTCGTAGGTTTTCTCCGGGTCCTCCGGTTTCCTCCCACTGCTAAAGAATTATTGAAATAAAATTAAACCTAGTTTGTGTCGAGTGGTCGTTAAAACCCCATCTCTCTCTCTCTCTCTCTCTCTCTCTCTCTCTCCATAGCCAATTTTAAGTTTTTGAACTTATAGAAGACGTTGGCCTGAAAAAACATCCAACCCGACACTGTTCTACAACAGTGTTTTCAACAAAACAAATTACACCCGCTGTGGTGTAATAATTAATATGGAAGCGTAATTTGCAAAACACCCTTTGAGTTTAAAGGGCTAATCCCGATAATTTTTTTGGAGAATAAAACTGTTTAATTTTGTTTTAAAATCCCTTAAAATCCTCTACCTAAGGGCCGAGCAACTAACTTAATATTTGTGATAAATTTTCAAACAACTGAAACCCGTCAGTCTTCATCTGGAAATGGAGACCAGTGTCCCAAGCTATATTATGCGGTGTCTAGATAAAACCAGACATTTTTTGTATAAAAATAATGTGTAGGTGCAATTTACCTTTCGTTGGGTAATTCACTGTATAGACCTCTCAATGAACGGGAATCGATTATCAGGTCTCCCAACGAAAGAATTTACCCGAAAACTTAAAAGGGTTACGTGTCCGGATAAGCAGTTTTGACGGTCACGTCCAAACGACTCAAAATTTTGAGTTGAAATTTTGAGATAAGGTCAAAACACCATTCCTCTATATTTTAGCGCTTAAATTTCACACATACTCAGACTTTTGGTTTTGAGACTCTGTTCAAATACGGGATAGTCCCTTTAATGCTTATCCACACCCATGGAAGTAAATTATTTAAGTTCCTCATCAGAATGTCTGAGTGCAACACTCATCCCGAGGCAGGTTACACTACTGAAAGTGGCAGCTAGTTTCCACCAGAATTGGTGTAATGTTCTACACTAGTTGGGTGTTATCGGTTTACACCACTAAAGGTTAGAGTTTAACGCCCTCTCGACACAAACTAGATCATTTCAGGACTTACATATGTTCAATCTTAATTCAATAATTAAGGGTCTTTTTAACAGTGGGGGGAAACCGGAGGTCCTGGAGAAAACCGACGAGGTTGGACAGGCGACCCTACTCCTTGTCACGTACAACCGTGGAATCGCACTTATGATACAGTGCGCACGTGCTAACCATTCGCCCCCCCCCCCCCCCCGTGGTAATGCAAAGCTCAGGTCTACACGGCACCGATAACATGTGCATTCTTTACATCGGGTGTAGTAATACAAACTGACCAGGGCTGAATCAGTGCCTTTTACTTATTTTACGCCTTCCAGTACTATTTTATGTGAACATTTAGACTAAATAGTACATATTTTGTTTATCTATATTCACTTCCAGTACTTTTATTTGTTTTCTTAATAATTTAGGAATTTAATTTGCAAATGAAAAAAGAAGAAGTTTATATTGAGAGCTAATTAACGCACCCTCGTGTCAACACTTCTCTTTAAATGATAGTAGCCACCAAACCGATATTTACTCCTGATCAATTTGATTTAAATATTGTATTATTTATATTGTTAATATATTTGAATATTGTATTATTTATAGTAATCTTTTGTTGTATTATTTAAATTGTTCCCATAGTAATCATTTGAATATTGTATTATTTTAATTGTTCATATAGTAATCATTTAAATACTGTCTTGTTTATATTGTTCATATAGTAATCATTTAAATATTGTATTATTTATATTGTTCATATCGTAATCATTTAAATATTGTATTATTTATATTGTTCATATGGTAATCATTTGAATATTGTATTATTTTAATTGTTCATATAGTAATCATTTAAATACTGTCTTGTTTATATTGTTCATATAGTAATCATTTGAATATTGTATTATTTATATTGTTCATATGGTAATCATTTAAATCTTGTATTCTTTTAGTAATCATTTGAATATTGTATTATTTATATTGTTCATATATTTATATTGTTCATATAGTAATCATTTGAATATTATATTATTTATATTGTTCATAATATAGTAATCACTAAAATATTGTATTATTTATAGTAATCATTTGATATAGTGTATTATTTATATTGTTCATATAGTAATCATTTGAATATTGTATTTTTGATATTGTTACCATAGTAATCATTTGAATATTGTATTGTTTTTATTGTTCATATAGTAATCATATTGTTTCCATAGTAATCATTTAAATACTGTATTATTTATATTAAATGGGCCACTTGTTCTTTATCTAATCCATACAACCAAACATTATGTACTAAATGATAACTTGGATAAACTAACATCTTTCAACACCACACAAAATTACAACTAAAACCCCAAGAGTTTAGACTGACCCAATAACCCGATTTGAATTCATGAGGAATAGAATTTCCTTGTAACTGTCACATGAATGATAAAATAATATATAGGGAAGTCGGGTTGGAGGATAAAACAAGAGAAGTACTCGAATTGTTACAATTAATTTCCTTATTTGTTTAAACAGGTCCTAGCTATTTAAATAAATAATCTACCACTTTATCCAGATATATAAATTTAATTTTAAACAAAGTCATAAATACAACAACATTAGACACGTCAAGTAGCAGAGAATCAGAACAAACTGAAGTAGTTTAATTTAACTCCTTGAAAAGCACCGACCGATATGTACGACTCACTGATATTTAGAGGTAAGCCCATTTATTTTACGAGTCATACATCTATTGGTACCCCTCACGTTGGTTATAGGCTGAATTTTTAATAATCAGGCGAATCTCTGATTTTGTTTATGACACTTAATGTCTTGATGCTACACCTTTAAAGGAGCTAAGTCTCCAACTCAATATTTTTCATAATATTCGAAATTAGAAACACGAATTGGAATTCAATATTGCTCAATTTCAATCAATATAGATGCTGTGATCTGACCGTGAAATTATAGGATCCTAATATCCAATATTTAAGGCACAATTAACATTATATAATCAGTACACGGGTCGTGTACCCTATGGTTTCGGGTGCCATTTTCTAATGAACAAATACAAACATATCCTACAATACAATGTGGAAATAATTAGTAAAGGCTGATTCACAAACGACAAAATAATAATTTAAAAAACGTGAAGAATGCATTCACCAGGTGTAAACTACTGCCGATCAATTTGAACTGTTCACGTATGTCACCGAACATAATTGATTAGAAATTAAAATATTTTTTGTCAAAAAGTGAATATAAACCACTTTACATACATTCATATTACAGTAATATATGCTTTTAGAACCATTTTTGTCTATTTCAAAGTTTAACAAAATAGAGTCATACACCCTTTAAATAGGTAGGGCGGGTAGATGGCCGAATTGTTAGCACGTGCGCGCTGTATCATAAGGTCTGTCATTGAGTCAACTAGCGGGCTTCGATTTCCCAGTAGTACGTGACAAAGAGTAGGGTCGCCAGTCCAATCTCGTAGGTAGGGCGGGTAGATGGCCGAATTGTTAGCACGGGCGCGCTGTATCATAAGGTCTGTCATTGAGTCAACTAGCGGGGTTTCGATTTCCCAGTAGAACGTGACAAAGAGTAGGGTCGCCAGTCCAATCTCGTAGGTTTTCTCTAGGTCCTTCGCTTTCCCCCCACTGCTAAAGACCCCTACGCGCAAGCAAATTATTGAAATAGGATTGAACCATGTGTTAGTCCCGAAATGACCTAGTTTGTGTCGAGTGGACGTTAACCCCTCTCTCTCTCTCTCTCTCTTCCTCTCTCTCTCCACCCCCTCTCTCTCTCTCTCCATAAACAAACAATCATCACTGGTACATAATGTCCGAACCATAGTGACCACAGTGGACGTTATCCCCCCTCTCCCCCCTCTCTCTCTCCCTCTCTCTCTGTTTAAATAGATGTAATTTATTATAGATGTTTTAGTATGTAAACTATTGTTTTTATATTATTATAGTTCAATGTTTGTACACGAGAAATAAACAAAGGCTCTCACCTGTAATGAATACACCACAATGTCATGAACTCGCAGCTATCGAGAGTTGGTGACCAGACTGTGTCTACGTTTAAAGAATTAATGTCACAGCAAAAACTTTTTATCGATAATCTATATTCTTAGAAGTTATGCCACAACAAGATTTTTTTGGGGGGATAATCTTCATTCACAGAATCTGTGCCACAACAAGAACTTTTTGACAGAGAATCTATATTCACAGAATCTGTGCCACAACACGAACTGTTTTCCGTTAATCTACATTCACAGAGTGTGTGCCATAAAAATATTTTTTTTCGATAATCTATATTCACAGAATATGTGACACAAGAACTTTTTATCGATAATCTACATTATTGTGTTTTCCTTGAAAACAGCAGGAATGTTTGGCCTTTACTAATGAACGAGGGAATAGTCTGGAACTTCCATTTTTTGAAATTGTCATCGTTTATGATAGACAGATGTGACAAATATATAAATCCGTTGTAACTTTTATTAACAATGCAGTCTATATGATGCATTTTTTAAAAGGCCTTTTCTGGATTGTAGTCTACTCTTCCCGTTAAACAAGTGTAGATAAGACGCCATGGATATCTATAAAAGCGTACTTGGGATTATTTTTCTCCTTGATGCGGCCTATAGCCGGCGAATTCATCTAAGCCCTAATGGAACTTCAGCTAATTCCTCTATTGTTCTTTCATCAAAGGCGAACCAAGATGGAACTTTACACGAAATACCCGACGTGATGATCGATAGTTACTCTTGTGGAGATAACATGTGTAATTGTACGGGGAATGTTGCCGTGTGTTCTGGGCACCGACACTTATTATCCTACATTCCCAAATTACCAGCCAATATCTCACAGCTCACATTTTCGGATAACTTTTTACCACATATAAAAAACGACACCTTTTCTAATGTTTCGTCTTTGACGCATCTTTACTTAAAAGCAAATAATTTGAGCTACTGTTCGCGGTTTGCATTCCGTAGCTTAAAAGAGCTTCAAATACTAGGAATTTATAAAGAGAAAAAAATAAAATATGGACTGTTATATTATTGTTTGATGGGCGTGGTAAGTCCGAAGCTTCAAGAGCTTCAATTGATTAAATTAACGTTTAAGGATAGATTGAGCAAAACATACTTCCTCTCTGCGATGAAGAACAGCCCAGTATCTAAAATTGTAATGAACTCGACTTATATCAATTATTACAACCACACTGACTTCACTCACCTGAAAAATCTCTCCGTCCTTAGTTTACGTACGTGTTGGATACAAGAGATGGATTTTTCACCGATTCCGAAACCCATTCCGAAACTGATTTCGAAACCGATTCCGACCTTAACGGAGTTGGTTTTATCAGAAAATGCTTTGGTCAATTTTCCCAAGTTCTGTGCCGATAATAAAGCAATGTTTCCTAATTTAACACGTCTGTACATGGATGACAATTTTATTCGATTTATGCCACGACGGGGTCTAGATTGTATGACAGGCGATACGTTTCAAGTCAGTAGCTTGAAGCGTATATATGGTATTAGTGTCAGTGGCCTGTGGCACGAAGTAACAGTATATTGTCGCATACATAATATATTATGTCAACGCTTGGGCGATATAATATATTATGTCAACGCTTGGAACTAGGATGGAGGTGACTAGGCATGAACTTGCAACGATAGATTTAATTGGCGCTTTGATAACCAATGAATGCTTTGGAGACATATTTTGGCGGTATTTTCCATCATGGAATCGGTAAGTTTCGATTGTTTTTTTCTTTTCTGTTTTTTCTCTCTTTTCTGTGTCCTAACCCTAACCCTAACCCTAATCCGAAAGAAAAGTGCCCTTTTTTGAAATTCTGACATCACAGGTGCCCTTTTTCTGATAAGGATGCCCTCTTTTATTTACAGGGACACTTTCTATTGTTAAGGGGGTGGACCGGTCCCCATGGTCCAACCCCTGGATCCGCTCTGATGACGCGTACATTCCACTGAGTCTACAGGTCTAATATGCTAACACGCTTGGAGCGTCAACACAATATATTATGTCGCCCAAGCGTTGACATAATATATTATGTATGCGACAATATACTGTTATTTCGTGCCACAAGCCACTGACACTAATACCATATATACGCTTCAAGCTACTGACTTGAAACGTGCAGGGTGTGTATGAAGTGTCTTCAAATCTTTTCTATTTCTGCTAACCCATTACGAGATTTGGAGGACAATACATTTTCCAGACTCCCAAATTTGCACACAGTTTTCATCAACTACAATTCAGGATCAGCATTTCGGATCAGGGATCACGCCTTTAATAGTTCCAGCCTAATTAATCTTTATTTAAAGGGCAACGCCGAACACGCGCATCACTTGTATGTAGGGGCATTAAATAGTTGCGCAAACCTAGAAAAATTGGAACTATCCAAAAGCCACCTTTACTCAAAATCAAACGAATACTTCGACGAACTCTTTGCAACATTGACCAAATTAAAAGTTCTGAAACTTTCTGATACCGGTATTGGATCATTACCTCCTGTTATTCCAAGAATAATGCCGAAGCTGGAGTCTCTTGATGTAAGTTACAATCATATTTCATGGTGGAAAAACGATTATTTTAGAAACTTAACGTCGCTGCGAAGATTAAACTTGACGTCTAATCAAATTGCGACAATCAACAAACATTCGTTTTCTTATGAAACAATACAAGTTTTATCACGACTTGACTTATCATACAACCCTTACTCTTGTTCCTGTGCGAATTTACTCTGGTTTGCGCGATTACTGAAGACCAAGAGCTTTGCTAAAAAGCTTCATATGTTCCCGAATAAATATACATGTTCAACGCCTAGTGATTGGCGGGGCATGAGGATTATTGATACACCTATAAGTAATCGCTTTTGTTTGTTAACCCCCGTTATAAGTTTGATAATAACATCAGTATCGATAGGAGTACTTCTTTTAATACTCGCGATATCTCTGGTTTACAGATATCGTTGGCACCTTCGATACTTCGTCTACATACTCCGATACCACCACCTCAGACTCCAAAGATTCGCCACTGAAGGACGGAGCTATCGGTACGATATCTATTTAAGCTGTAGTGAAGACGATGTAGATTTTATTTTGGAAAATATTTTACCAAGACTAGAACACGAGTTGAATCTCCACGTCTTTCTCCCACAGAGAGATGGGATTGGAAATAAAATAGACAGTATAATTCATCTTGTGCATGTCGGATACGTTCGCTGTTGATCATTACTGTGAGTTCGAAGCAAGCGTAGCTTATGAACGAATCTTAAGTGAAAGACGAGATTTAATGATTGTGATTTTGTTAGAGGAACTGGGAATTGTTAATATTACTAAGACCGTTCATAGAATCTTAAAGGATGATGACTATATAAAATGGGGATGGAGTGAGGAAAGTATTGATTTATTTTGGCTGAAGTTAATTCAACATCTAAACTCTTCTGATGAACCTAGACCTTAGATTGTAGCTTAATTAAGGTGGGGGTGCCCCGTCTCATGCGTCGATCACTTTGTAGCGAGCAGCTCTTATGAATAACAGATATTTTTTTTTCTGGACAGTCGAAGGATACAGGACAAATGACGCAGTTATATTTGTGGACAACTGACACAGTTATATTTGTGGACAACTGACACAGTTATATTTGTGGACAATTGACACTGTTATATTTGTGGACAATTGACACTGTTATAATTTTGCAAGAAACCCACGCTATTTGTTACACAGTTTTAGTATGCTTGATGTATATTGTGTTAAGCTTGTAGCTTAATTAAGGTAGGGGCCTGAGGGTGCCCCGTCTCATGCGTCACTTTGTAGCGAGCAGCTCTTATGAAAAAAAGAAATATTTTCTTTTGTGGACAGTCGTTCTGTACAGGACAATTGGCAGTTATATTTGTGCACGAAACCCAGCATTAGGGGTCTTTAGCAGTTGGAGGAAACTGAAGGGCCCGGAGAAGACCCACGAGGTTGGACAGGCGACCAAACTCATTGTCACGTACAACCGGGGAATCGAAACCCCGCCAGATGAATCAATGATAGACCTTATGTCACAGATCGCACGCGCTAACCATTCGTTCATCTAACCTCTCTAAATGGTTTGATGTTTCGATTTCAATATCTGATGTTACACGACAAAAAAAAACTAACTCATCTCTACAATATGGATCAGACAAAACACGTCTAAATATGAAAGTACCCTAGCAATTGTTGTTAGCTGTTAGCAATATAACTATCATCCTGCACTAAGATTAAATTTCAATTTCGTTTCGGTTTTCTTTTCCATTTTTAACCAACTTCCTGCCATAATATCTAAACAACCCACTGACGACTGTATATCAATGCAGACCATTTGATAACAAAAGCACTTGTACTTTTTTTTAAAAAAAAAAGGAAATATTTTGATCCAAACAATAGTAGGAGAGGGGTCATAAAGGCTATATCTGTTCCCTAATGCCTTTTTTGTCCGAGTGTGTGTGTGTGTGTGGGGGGGGGGGGGGTCACGGTGGCTAAGTGGGTGTTCGATCCCTGCATTGGCCGAGAAAGTTCATCCAGATTTTCCGGCGTGCTTCATTTGTCAGTGATGCAGGACGGAGGGCCTGACAAGGAGGGCCTGACACGTAAAAGATCCCTTGACAGTTGGAATTCGATATAAGAGTATATGCCGTAGTGCCGCTGTCCGGGAAAAATTTCCCTCATAGTACACTGTATGCGTATGCCCGTCTTTATTTGCCCAGTTCGGAGCCGAACAGTAGAATGTTAAACTCATTTCATTTCATTTTATTTAACGTTAGCCAAGACAGCGTGTTAATATGTTAAAATAAGGGTTATATTTACTATGGGTCCATCACTCACATCTTTCTGTAAATAAGACTGATTTATACGAGTGAAAGAAAGAAATTAAATGAAATGGGGTTTAACGTCCTACTTTTATGCATCCTCCGGGCTTATGAAGACGGACATGTGCTAAGAGAAACAATTTACCCTGACAATGGCAATTCCATCTACCCTTCGTCGAACAACTGACAAGGGAAAACACGCCGTAAAATCCTGATGAACTTTCTCGGCCATTGCGTGGATCGAACACGCGACCTCCAGGCTAGCGAGCCAGCGTCTTACCCACTTTTACCACACATTTCATGTGGCACGGCTACAGACCGCAATTACGAACCGATTTCAATAAAACTTGCAGATTATAATTACATTAGTAATATCTCAGAGTAGCCAAAATTTCGACAACTTCCGGTAACAGACCACAATTATCAACCTAATTCCATGAAACTTACAGAATATGATAACATTATAATATCGCAGAGTAGCCAAATGTGTGGTAACCTGATATCTCCTTAACCGCTAACCGGAAGTGGCCAAAACTTTGCCTACTCTGCGATATTATTAATGTCACCATAATCTGCAATTGTCATTGAAATCGGTTTGTAATTGCGTTCTGTAGCCGTGCCACATGGAATGTGTGGTAACCTGATATCTCGGAAACCGCTAACCGGAAGTGGTCAACATTTTGCCTACTCTGAGATATTATTAATGTTATCATATTCTGTAAGTTTCATGGAAATCGGTTGATAATTCTGGTCTGTAGCCGTGCCACATGAAATGTGTGGTAACCTGATATCTCGGAAACTGATAACCGAAAGTGATCGAAATTTTGCCTACTCTGAGATATTATTAATGTTATCATATTCTGTAAGTTTCGTGGATATCGGTTGATAATTGTGGTCTGTAACCGTGCCACGTGAAATGTGTGGTAACCTGATATCTCAAAAACCGCAAAGCGGAAGTGGTTGAAATTGTGGCTACTCTGAGATATTATTCATGTTATCATATTCTGTATGTTTCATGGAAATCGGTTGATAATTGTGGTCTGTAGCCGTGCCACATGAAATGTGTGGTAACCTGATATCTTGGAAACCGCTAACCGGAAGTGACCGAAACTTTGCCTACTCTGAGATATTATTAATGTTATCGTTATCTGTAAGTTTCATTGAAATCGGTTGATAATCCCAGTACGGAGACTTGCCACATGTGGCAAATAGTCTCCGGATTGTCTTACCACATGTGGCAAATAGCCCAAGCCTTATTTATATTGTTCCTACAGCAAATATATAAATATTGTATTATTTATATTGATGATACACTGTTAAAAACTGGGTGTTATTAAGAACTATCAGCAGTGTTAATTAAGTGTAAATTTTACACCACAGTTGGCGTTTTTTTAAAATGTATCACTATTGCAAGAGTAACCAACTTAAAGAGCTACACCTAACAAGTGTAGCCGATATGCATGACTATTGAAGACCTGAATAGGTGTAATTGTGGGGTGGTTTGGATGAGCTACACCACTACCAGTGTTATACTGCATTAACTCCAGTGGTTGTAACTATTATTAGGGAATTAATCCGCCAACAGTTTTAATTTTACACCGTTTATTGGGCTTCAAAAGTGTAATCGATATTACTGAACACCAGGATAGGTGCAATTGTAGCCGTTAAATGATGTTTGGGATGAGCTACAACTCTACAAGCGTTTTATTGCAGTTACACCAACAGGTGTTATTATTATTAGGGAAACATTCCTCTGAATAAGGTGTCAATTGTACACTGTATCTTGCATTACAAACGTGTTTGTGTACTCTAATTTGCACGTTTTTGTAAAATGTGGCGTTAATTACATTAGTAACACATGTTAGAGTGTTTACTCATAACGAATATAAGTATAGATTATTGTAGCTTGTATACACTTAAAGACGTGTAAATGTTCCAATATATTGCCAAGTACTATATCTTAATTAATTGTTCTTAATTCAGGTGAGGTGCATAAATGAATAAACCACATTATTCAGCTAAGTTGTAAGGATATGTGTATTGATTTTTTCTCATGATTTATATTCATTATAAATTGATACAGATTGTCTAATTGTCCAACAACAGTCAATGTAATGTCGTTGTGAAATGAAGCGAAGTAGCCGACGGTTATATGTAATCTGGGTCGGGATAAACGTCTTATACATATTATCATAGAGGCCCATAGCCAATTTCAAGTTTTCTGAACTTATAGAAGACGTTGGCCTGGAATAAATATCCAACCCGGCACTGTTTTCAACAAAACAAATTTACACCCGCTTTGGTGTAATAATTGATATGGAAGTGAAATTTGTAATGCTTATTCTACACCCACGGGTGTAAATTATTTAAGTGCATCATTAGACTGTCTGATTGCAACACTCATCTCTGTGTATAAGAGAGAGAGAGAGAGAGAGAGGGGGGGGGGGGTTAACATCCACTCAACACAAACTAGATCATTTCGGGACTAACATATGGTTCAATTCTATTTCAATAATTCGCTTGCTCGTAATTCGGGGTCTTTTTAGCAGTGGGGGAAAACTAGAGGTCCCAGAGAAAACCGACAAGGTTGGACAGGCGACCCTACTCCTTGTCACGTACAACCGGGAAATCGAAACCACGTCAGATGACTCAATGACAGACCTTATGATACAGCGCGCACGTGATAACCATTCGGCCATTCACTCCCCCCCCCCACCTGTGGTAATGTAAAGCTTAGGTCTACACGGCACCGATAACATGTGCATTCTTTACATCGGATGTAGTAACACAAACTGGCCAGGGCCGAATCGGTGCCTTTTACTTATTTTACGCCTTCCAGTACTATTTTATGTGCACATTTAGACTAAATAGTAAATAGGGTTTTTTTTATCTAGATTCACTTCCAGTACTTTTATTTGTTTTCTTAATAATTTAGGAATTTAATTAGCAAATAAAAACAAGATGTTTATATTGAGAGCTAATTAACACACCCCCGTGTCAACACTTCTCTTTAAATGATAGTAGCGACCAAATCGATATTTACTCCTGATCAATTTGATTTAAATATTGTATTATTTTAATCGTTCCCATAGTAATCATTTAAATATTATATTATTTATAGTGTTCATATAGTAATCATTTGAATATTATAGTAATCATATTGTTTCCATAGTAACCATTTAAATACTGTATTATTTATATTAAATGGGCCACTTGTTCTTTATCTAATCCATACAACAAAACATTATGTACTAAATGATAACTTGGATAAACTAACATCTTTCAACACCACACAAAATTACAACTAAAACCCCAAGAGTTTAGACTGACCCAATAACCCGATTTGAATTCATGAGGAATAGAATTTCCTTGTAACTGTCACATGAATGATAAAATAATATATAGGGAAGTCGGGTTGGAGGATAAAACAAGAGAAGTACTCGAATTGTTACAATTAATTTCCTTATTTGTTTAAACAGGTCCTAGCTATTTAAATAAATAATCTACCACTTTATCCAGATATATAAATTTAATTTTAAACAAAGTCATAAATACAACAACATTAGACACGTCAAGTAGCAGAGAATCGGAACAAACTGATATACTAAGAGAGGACTGAAGTAGTTTAATTTAACTCCTTGAAAAGCACCGAGCGATATGTACGACTCACTGATATTTAGAGGTAAGTCCATTTATTTTACGAGTCATACATGTATTGGTACCCCTCACGTTGGTTATAGGCTGAATTTTTAATAATCAGGCGAATCTCTGATTTTGTTTATGACACTTAATGTCTTGATGCTACACCTTTAAAGGAGCTAAGTCTCCAACTCAATATTTTTCATAATATTCGAAATTAGAAACACGAATTGGAATTCAATATTGCTCAATTTCAATCAATATAGATGCTGTGATCTGACCGTGAAATTATAGGATCCTAATATCCAATATTTAAGGCACAATTAACATTATATAATCAGTACACGGGTCGTGTACCCTATGGTTTCGGGTGCCATTTTCTAATGAACAAATACAAACATATCCTACAATACAATGTGGAAATAATTAGTAAAGGCTGATTCACAAACGACAAAATAATAATTTAAAAAACGTGAAGAATGCATTCACCAGGTGTAAACTACTGCCGATCAATTTGAACTGTTCACGTATGTCACCGAACATAATTGATTAGAAATTAAAATATTTTTTGTCAAAAAAGGGAATATAAACCACTTTACATACATTCATATTACAGTAATATATGCTTTTAGAACCATTTTTGTCTATTTCAAAGTTTAACAAAATAGAGTCATACACCCTTTAAATGGGTAGGGCGGGTAGATGGCCGAATTGTTAGCACGTGCGCGCTGTATCATAAGGTCTGTCATTGAGTCAACTAGCGGGGTTTCGATTTCCCAGTAGTACGTGACAAAGAGTAGGGTCGCCAGTCCAATCTCGTAGGTTTTCTCCAGGTCCTTCGGTTTCCCCCCACTGCTAAAGACCCCTACGCGCAAGCAAATTATTGAAATAGGATTGAACCATGTGTTAGTCCCGAAATGACCTAGTTTGTGTCGAGTGGACGTTAACCCCTCTCTCTCTCTCTCTCCCTCTCTCTCTGTTTAAATAGATGTAATTTATTATAGATGTTTTAGTATGTAAACTATTGTTTTTATATTATTATAGTTCAATGTTTGTACACGAGAAATAAACAAAGGCTCTCACCTGTATTGGATACACCACAATGTCATGAACTCGCAGCTATCGAGAGTTGGTGACCAGACTGTGTCTACGTTTAAAGAATTAATGTCACAGCAAAAACTTTTTATCGATAATCTATATTCTTAGAAGTTATGCCACAACAAGATTTTTTTGGGGCGATAATCTTCATTCACAGAATATGTGCCACAACAAGAACTTTTTGACAGAGAATCTATATTCACAGAATCTGTGCCACAACACGAACTGTTTTCCGTTAATCTACATTCACAGAGTGTGTGCCATAAAAATATCTTTTTTCGATAATCTATATTCACAGAATATGTGACACAAGAACTTTTTATCGATAATCTACATTATTGTGTTTTCCTTGAAAACAGCAGGAATGTTTGGCCTTTACTAATGAACGAGGGAATAGTCTGGAACTTCCATTTTTTGAAATTGTCATCGTTTATAATAGACAGATGTGACAAATATATAAATCCGTTGTAACTTTTAATAACTATGCAGTCTATATGATGCATTTTTTAAAAGGCCTTTTCTGGATTGTAGTCTACTCTTACCGTTAAACAAGTGTAGATAAGACGCCATGGATATCTATAAAAGCGTACTTGGGATTATTTTTCTCCTTGATGCGGCCTATAGCCGGCGAATTCATCTAAGCCCTAATGGAACTTCAGCTAATTCCTCTATTGTTCTTTCATCAAAGGCGAACCAAGATGGAACTTTACACGAAATACCCGACGTGATGATCGATAGTTACTCTTGTGGAGATAACATGTGTAATTGTACGGGGAATGTTGCCGTGTGTTCTGGGCACCGACAATTATTATCCTACATTCCCAAATTACCAGCCAATATCTCACAGCTCACATTTTCGGATAACTTTTTACCACATATAAAAAACGACACCTTTTCTAATGTTTCGTCTTTGACGCATCTTTACTTAAAAGCAAATAATTTGAGCTACTGTTCGCGGTTTGCATTCCGTAGCTTAAAACAGCTTCAAATACTAGGAATTTATAAAGAGAAAAAAATAAAATATGGACTGTTATATTATTGTTTGATGGGCGTGATAAGTCCGAAGCTTCAAGAGCTTCAGTTGATTAAATTAACGTTTAAGGATAGATTGAGCAAAACATACTTCCTCTCTGCGATGAAGAACAGCCCAGTATCTAAAATTGTAATGAACTCGACTTATATCAATTATTACAACCACGCTGACTTCACTCACCTGAAAAATCTCTCCGTCCTTAGTTTACGTACGTGTTGGATACAAGAGATGGATTTTTCACCGATTCCGAAACCCATTCCGAAACTGATTTCGAAACCGATTCCGACCTTAACGGAGTTGGTTTTATCAGAAAATGCTTTGGTCAATTTTCCCAAGTTCTGTGCCGATAATAAAGCAATGTTTCCTAATTTAACACGTCTGTACATGGATGACAATTTTATTCGATTTATGCCACGACGGGGTCTAGATTGTATGAAGTGTCTTCAAATCTTTTCTATTTCTGCTAACCCATTACGAGATTTGGAGGACAATACATTTTCCAGACTCCCAAATTTGCACACAGTTTTCATCAACTACAATTCAGGATCAGCATTTCGGATCAGGGATCACGCCTTTAATAGTTCCAGCCTAATTAATCTTTATTTAAAGGGCAACGCCGAACACGCGCATCACTTGTATGTAGGGGCATTAAATAGTTGCGCAAACCTAGAAAAATTGGAACTATCCAAAAGCCACCTTTACTCAAAATCAAACGAATACTTCGACGAACTCTTTGCAACATTGACCAAATTAAAAGTTCTGAAACTTTCTGATACCGGTATTGGATCATTACCTCCTGTTATTCCAAGAATAATGCCGAAGCTGGAGTCTCTTGATGTAAGTTACAATCATATTTCATGGTGGAAAAACGATTATTTTAGAAACTTAACGTCGCTGCGAAGATTAAACTTGACGTCTAATCAAATTGCGACAATCAACAAACATTCGTTTTCTTATGAAACAATACAAGTTTTATCACGACTTGACTTATCATACAACCCTTACTCTTGTTCCTGTGCGAATTTACTCTGGTTTGCGCGATTACTGAAGACCAAGAGCTTTGCTAAAAAGCTTCATATGTTCCCGAATAAATATACATGTTCAACGCCTAGTGATTGGCGGGGCATGAGGATTATTGATACACCTATAAGTAATCGCTTTTGTTTGTTAACCCCCGTTATAAGTTTGATAATAACATCAGTTTCGATAGGAGTACTTCTTTTAATACTCGCGATATCTCTGGTTTACAGATATCGTTGGCACCTTCGATACTTCGTCTACATACTCCGATACCACCACCTCAGACTCCAAAGATTCGCCACTGAAGGACGGAGCTATCGGTACGATATCTATTTAAGCTGTAGTGAAGACGATGTAGATTTTATTTTGGAAAATATTTTACCAAGACTAGAACACGAGTTGAATCTCCACGTCTTTCTCCCACAGAGAGATGGGATTGGAAATAAAATAGACAGTATAATCGAGAATATGGATGCTAGCAGGAGATTCATCTTGTGCATGTCGGATACGTTCGCTGTTGATCATTACTGTGAGTTCGAAGCAAGCGTAGCTTATGAACGAATCTTAAGTGAAAGACGAGATTTAATGATTGTGATTTTGTTACAGGAACTGGGAGTTGTTAATGTTACCAAGACCGTTCATAGAATCTTAAAGGATGATGACTATATTAAATGGGGATGGAGTGAGGAAAGTATTGATTTATTTTGGCTGAAGTTAATTCAACATCTAAACTCTTCTGATGAACCTAGACCTTAGATTGTAGCTTAGTTAAGGTAGGGGCCTGGGGGTGCTCCGTCTCATGCGTCACTTTGTAGCGAGCAGCTCTTATGAATAACAGATATTTTCTTTTCTGGACTGTCGAAGGATACAGGACAATTGACACAGTTATATTTGTGGACAATTGACACAGTTATATTTGTGGACAATTGACACTGTTATAATTTTGAACGAAACCCACGCTATTTGTTATACAGTTTTAGTATGCTTGATGTATATTGTGTTAAGCTTTTCACATGAGAGGTTACAAGATGGGTGTTAGGTGAAGGACTCCGAAACCTAGTTACTGAAACACTTACATCTTGAAATTAGAATTTAAAGTTTGTTCCTTTATGGACTGGCGTGGTTTCGAATCCCCGGTTGTACGTGACAAGGAGTAGGGTCGCCTGTCCAACCTCGTGGGTTTTCTCCGGGTCCTCCGGTTTCCCCCCACTGCTAAAGACCCCTACGCGCAAGCGAATTATTGAAATAAAATTAAACCATATGTTAGTCCCGAAATGACCTAGTTTGTGTCGAGTGGACGTTAAACCCCATTTCTCTCTCTCTCTCTTTGTTCCTTTTTGTATGGCAGTGCTTGTTGTGGAACCTATCTAGTATTTCTATTTGTTTAACCGTCAACTTTCAAAATAATGCTAGGTTCCCATTGTCGTGCGATAAGTTACGATAGGATTATCCCTTTTGAGTCTACGATCTGGTGCGTGCAGATACGTTCGGATAGGTTTCGATACGATCAACACGATTGCTACGACTGACCTCAATATATGATAAGACCTGATAGGATCACCACGATTACCCCATGATTAAAACTATGATTAAAACCACGATTTCAATCGTATCGCGAATCGTGATAGTGGGAACTAGCATAAACGAGAGGAAGTACCTTAGTTTGAGAGAGAGAGAGAGAGAGTTTAACGTCCACTCGACACAAACTAGGTCATTTTGGGACTAACACATGGTTCAATTTTAATTCAATAATTCGCCTGCGCGTAGGAGTCTTTAGCAGTGGGAGGAAACCGGAGGGCCCGGAGAAAACCTACGATGTTAGACTGGCGACCCTACTCATCGTCACGTACAACTGGGAAATCGAAACTCCGCCAGTTGACTCAATGATAGACCTTATGATACAGCGCGCACGTGCTAACCATTCGGCCATCTACCCCCCCTACCCATTCGAACGATTAGACAACTGTCCTTGTCAGGCCCTCCGTCCCGCATCGATGACAAGGGGGAACCCCGCAGGAAAATCTGGATGAACTTTCTCGGTCAATGTAGGGATCGAACACCCGACCTCCAGGCTAGCAAGCAGTGTCTTACCCACTTAGCCACCGTGGCTTCCCCAATTTAATAGATCAACAAATGAAATTCCTCATAGCACACTGTATGGCGTATGTCCGTCTTGATTAGCCCAGTATAGGAGCAGAACAGTAGGACGTTAAACCCCATTTCATTTCATTTCAACAAATGAAATTGAATATAACGTCCTACTTTTTTTTATCAACATTAGAACAGATATCAGTGTAAACGAACGGTATACTGTGTGATGATTAACATAATGCCCAACAGTGTCTGTGGTACTAAAAACCTATAGATGGTCAAATTATTGCTGTTACGGCCAAGCCATAATCTAAAGGACCAAACACAAAGATGCAGTTGTCTATAAACAGAAGTGATAAGGTGGCGTGCTTTATCTTTCTAAATCACCAGATACAGAGCGAGAGAGAGAGAGAGAGGGGGGGGAGAGAGAGAGATGGTAACGTCCACTCGACACAAACTAGGTCATTTTGGGACTTACATATGGTTCCATTTTATTTCAATAATTCGCTTGCGTCTAGGGGTCTTTAGCAGTTCGAGGAAACCGGGAGACCCGGATAAAACCCACATGGTTGGACAGGGGACCCTACTCATTGTCACGTACACCTGGCGAATCGACACACCGTCATGTGACTCAATGACAGATTTTATAATACAGCGCACACGCGCTAACCATTCGGCCATCCAACCCTTCTAAATAGTTTGATGTTTGGATCTCAATATCTAAGAAACTAACTCCTACAATATCAATCGGACTACACGTTTAAATATGAAAGTACTCTAACAATCATCCTGCACTAACATTAAACTTCAATTTCGTTTCGGTTTTCTTTTCCTTTTTTAACCAACTACCTGCCATAATATCTACACAACCCAACTGTTTATCAATGCAGACCATATGATAACAAAGGTACTTGTATTTAAAAAAAAAAAAAAAAAAAATATTCAAACATTATAAGGAAAGGGGTCGTGTAGGCTATGTCTGTTCCCTAATCCAGGGGGTCACGGTGGCTAAGTGGGTAAGGCGCTGGCTCGCTAGCCTGGAGGTCGGGTATTCGATCCCTGCATTGGCCGAGAATCTTCATCCAGATTTTCCGGCGTGGTTCCCCCTTGTCATCGATGCGGGACGGAGGGCCTGACAAGGACAGTTGTCTAGTCGTTCGAAATAAGAGTATGCCGTAGTGCCGCTGTCCGGGCAAAATTTCCCTCATAGCACACTGTATGGCGTACTATGCCCGTCTTCATTAGCCCAGTTCGGAGCAAAACGGCAGGACGTCAAACCCCATTTCGTTTCATTTCTGTTCCCCTATCCCTTTAAATTTTTGACAGATTATTTCCATCGCTCTATTAAAACCAAAGTTATGGCCATTTAATGTCTAGATCGGTTGCTATATATTCTGCGACGCCATCTTTATGCGAACCAGTTAAATTGTTTAAAGCTTGTTATTGAAGTGACTTTTATGATAAATATTATATTCATATCCATATTTATATAACCTATAAACCTAGAAATACACAGAAACAATTACAACTAGGAAGTTTTAATGGCAGACAATAACTGTTTGTATAGTAACAAAAAATAATAAAATTGGGAGGTAGTGGGATATATGTCATGAACAAGAGTACGCCGATAATTGAGTTCGTGGGGTCTAATGGATTTAGCTTGGTAGTTGTGGAAATAATTATTCCATAATTTCACCTGTTCGTAAAGTCCTCCCAACATAGGCATGACAAGATTTGGGGCCATTTGGAGAAGTTGAACATTAATAGTTTTACCTTTTCTTTTATTCGTGTTTAACATCCGCTTCCACCTAAGGCGATATCGCAGACAAGTTGTCTAAACTTGGGAGCCACGGTAGCAAAGTGATGTCGCGGGTTCGATCCCGGCGTTGGCCGATAGTTTATCGGGATTTCCCGGCGTGGTTTTCCCGTGTCAGTCTTTCGGATGGGACGAAACCTGAGGTCCCGCGAGGTCCCGTGTGCACATTGGCGTGCACGTAAATTATCCCTTGGCAGTTGGAGTTCGATGTCTGGGCAAAGTTTCCCGCATAGCACACTGTATGGCATATGCCTGTCTTCATTAGCCCAGTCGGAGCAGAACAATATCCCCGTCTTCATTAGCCCAGTCGGAGCAGAACAGTAGGGCGTTAAACCCCATTTCATTTTTCGTTTTATTATCTTGGCGCACATGCAGGGGTCTGTCCTGCGGGAGTATACCGGAGTACTCGGAGTAAACCCCTTGAAGTTGAGATGGCGCCCTCAATCTCCAAGGTGACCTGTCAGCTAGAACTCGAGGCGTGGCAATCTAGACTATCAGGCCATCTCAAACCCTCCCATCCTATCACCTTGCCAACTGTATCTGTCAGTTGGTATATCTGATACACCTGCTCATGTTTTTATCTTTTTATTTGCGCATACATTATATATTCTTCAAAAAAAGTAGGGGATATTGAAATGTAAATATTGGCTATGCAGGTTGTGATATGATAAATAGTCATGGACACTTGACATGCTTTGAGATTATGTTCACAGATAAAGAACTTATCGCCCCAACAGAACCACTGAGCTACACATGCGACACGCAATAGCGCCATACACGTGGGAGCGGGTCATTGTCAAATTTGACACTTCAAGGAAGGGTTGATGATAACTGCCGTTTGCTGGTTTATCCTATCCATGTTTGCTTTCATATCGGTTCTTGCATAAGATTTACTGTTTTAGCGTATTTTTGCTTTAGTGTGTTACGTTTAATTTGATCGGGAGACGTGTTCGCCAACGTCAACGTCAACCGACAACACTGCAAGAATTGGCCGTGGCACTGCAAGAGGAGTGGGTCAGATTGCCCCAAATCGTGATTGGACGGTTGATTAGAAGCATGCTACGACGATTTGCTGAATGTCTGAGGA